TCTCATTTGATTTGATAATGATTTATCAAAAAATTCTACAAATTATACAAAATTATTTTTATTTATCTGAAATATCCAAACACGATATGGTTCTTACTCATTTGATAATTATTTTAAATATCTGGATTATATATACCATATTCGCATTATCGATTCATTTTTAAAGAAATATTTCAAATATAATTTTGATATCCTTATATAACTCTCATATTTGCTCTTATCCGAATTTTTTTTACCTCAAATAAACATATTATCTATCACTTAATGCTTTAAGAATTGTTGAATTCAACTAAATTTTTTGGTTTCTTTTTGCAAAATTTCTGAATCTAGCTGAATCTAGCTGAATCTGACAAAATTTTGTTAAATAGCACATTTTAGCAGAATTGCTGAATCTGGCTAAATGTTGCAGAATTGAAAAGATGTGTTACCATTTATAGCCATACAAAACTTTTGTTAATTCTGTGGTACTTCTAGTACTTTTATACATTTAATAACCATAGTAAATCTTCAAGTCAACAACACTTAGCTTGGTTTTTTTCCACTATGAATATGTGAGTAGAATGTCATTGATATACATTGTTTGTGTTGTTAAAGACAGATTAAAAAGTAGTTAAAATATCATTAACAAGTCACAATATCATAAAGTATAGTGTATTGAGTATTCAATTTTGACTTGTATATCCTCCATTCCGATCCTCAGCTAAGGTTTTTTACCAACCCATTTATTTCCAAATCAACCCCTCTTTTCTTTTCTTTTTTTTTTGATCAAATTTTTGTTTTGATCAAAAACCCCCTCTTTTCTTTATTCTTTTACTTTCACCTAAAATTTATGCCTTGCATTGTTATATAACTAAACTCTTACTTCTTTTTACATGAAATATTTCACATAGATATACGTGATGCGTATAGAGATATATTGCTTATATATAGATCATCATATATAGCGTCTGATTATCTTTGAAGATGAACAAGATTTCTAAGAAAAATGTTTCAAGAAACATGTTTTATAGTTATATAGACTGTCACATTGTGGATCCCTGAAAATACATATAGTTTATATAGACTGCCTAATTAACACAAAAGACGTAAAACCATTTTTGGCAATTCAGTACAAAACCTAAAACAGTAAAACTCATGACGTAAATTCGCTGAAGACCCGAGTTCAATTCCTCTATTGAATAACTGTGATGCGTCTGGGTCACTTTGTGTCTTGGAATTTGGCCTGAGCTCTTTAAAATGATGGGATTAATTGGAAAACGAAGGAACTTGTTATTGAATTAATCAGGATAGACCATGATCATAGATGTAATTTGATGAATAGGGGGTTATATTTACATATTAATAAACAAATCACAATATCGTGAATGATGGTGTTGATTATTCCTTTTCACCATATCCTCAAACAAGCCAATTTATCTTTTCTTTATAGTTTATACTTTAGTTTCACCGAAGACTTTTATATCTTGGATTGGGCTAAGCTTTACTTTCTGAGACCAGTTAATCCAATAAACTCTAGATAACAATATTAAAAACTTATAAACCCCAATACATGTATTAAGAACCAAAAAAAGTTCTACTAGTATTCTCCTATGAGAGCTCATGACTTCTAGAAGATTACTATAGAAAGTTGAAATCAAATCTTGATTATTTTAATGCACGAAACTCTGGTACCAAAACATAATGAATAGAAAATAAAAAAAAAAGATTTTGGTAAGAGACTACTAACAAAGAAATCACTTATTAATGCGTGTCTTGCGTCTTAGCATTGCCACTAAGAAAACCTATCAACGATTTTGATGCTTTTGTGCTGTCCAGCCAATGACCACTTTCCTACACCTATTTCGTAGAGATATACAATGAAATAAAAAAAATACAAATAACAAATCAATTTTATTTCAACAGTATATTACTTTGAAAAGCTCAGAAATCCAAACTAGGAGAACCGAGCTCATACGAATTATCATAGGGATGAAAACGAGAACTACGAACTAAATTATCAGGAAGGAACGATATTGAGAAGAA